TCCTTCATTTGACTGCAGTTGGTTGTTCACTGTACGATGCATGCCAGGTGGAAGTAGAACAGGCATCGGCGGTGTTGTGCCTACACTGAGAATTTCATTGTACTTGGAAGTCCTAGCCCCTTTTCTTACTGGGGTTCCAGGAGAAGTGGAATTTAAATGAGAAGTAGGCGTAAAGCTGGTTTTGATGATTCTTGTAGCCATGTCAATTATCTTTGAAAATTGTTCTGAGATGTATTGAACATGCATAACAGTTCCCAAGTGAGCCTTAGAGTTTTTGGTACAATAGCTCTTGACCTCGTCAATGACCTGGTGTGAATTGTCCAAGAATTCGTCCAAGACAGTATGTGCCATGATGAAACAAAAGTGTAGAAGAGGTAGGTGTAAAGAATGGCCCAGTTGCCAGAGGAGCAACGCACCGTAGATCTACCAAACAAGTAGGGCAGAGGGAAAAGGATAGGGTTGGTAAGAACAACGAAAAATGGAGTGAACGCACCCAGTCAGATTTGACTGTAAAGTTGCAGTGTTGCCAGCACAAGCTGTGTTATTGGTAAAGTCACTTTGTAGGCTGAAGGTACAAGTCCAGACGAGGGTTATGCCAACAGGAAAATGGTAGGAAGAGAGTTACAAAGTGTAAGAAGTAGCCAAAGTCACAACCACACCAACAAGATTGATGTATTCAGTCAGTATGGGCAGAGTATTGAAGAGGGAGGCCAAGCTAGCCTTGGAAACAATGGCTGCTAGTCAACCGGAACCTGTCCGCTGTTGTCAACAAGTGCCAGATGTGGCACCTGTCTGCACTTGGTGACCTGGAGAGACAGAAGGGGGGATGAACCGATCTTCGAATCTGGGGTCCCTCCAAACAAATCAAACTTAGACAGGTGGTGCCCAGTTATCCCAACACTGTCTATATTGGTTAGACACCTGTTAAATCCAAACAGCCCTGGTTAGACAATAACACACAATAAACAACACGTAATCCACGAGACACAACATATCCACAGGAGGCACTGTGACTAACACAACACAAACAGTAGTATAACTGGATGAGTCTATTTCATTTGGTCCTTTCACACGCTGTTCTGGCAATTTTTTTAAATGTATTTATTAATTTTATCATTGTGCCACCGCTAGAGTACTATTTCAACTTTTTTGCATTGGATGGCAGACGAGTAGCCTACAATATAAGGTCGACTCTGCCGTGGAATCGTTATTACCTCAGCAGCGTGGGAAAGGACCAAATGAAATAGACTCATCTCATCCAGTATGTATAGTCTACCAAGAAATATATTTTTTCTGATTATGAAATGTTTAACAGAATATCTAACTATGTAACTATATTAGAGAAGACATTAGATTTTAGAAGAGGACTGAGTAATAGTTTAAGAGCAACAGAGAATTGATGAATATTTGAGAGAGCTTATGTATATTTCTCTTAGTATAAAGCTAAGTTCACATTGGCATATGAACTACAAGTTTGTCCCTTTTTCAAATGTTTGACTAGCTCATTACGATTTGAGAATATCTGAACTTTTGTTGAACTTCAGTTTGTTTGACTAATAAACTTTTCACAACTAGTGCTGTAAACCTTTTTAACTAATCATGTCCTAACTTAGTTTGTTTTCATTTAGTACAATGCAACAATGTTCCATTTTAGTTAGTATTTGTTTCATTCATTTATAGTGGTTAATATGACCACGTAAACCAAGCTTAAAGATCTGAATTACGAAATGCAGGAATGATTAATTCATAAGTAATTTTATCCTGGACAAAGTCTGAGATTCTGACATAATGTCCTTAAAAATTACATACAGTAATACCCCGAACTTACGCGATAGGTGGAACCGAGCGATAACCGCGTAAGTCGGGGTATAATTTCACAATTTGTGTAATTTGTGTAAGTCGGATGTATGTAAGATAATAAATGTTCTCGTTAATCTTATCTCGTCTTTTGATTCGTTCACGGTTACAAGAAATCACCACATAGAGTCTCTCGAGTCTCCGTAGATATAACAAACACAGAAATAAATAACACAAAATAAACTGTAGCTATGTGTCGATTCCGCGCGGCACGTCCGAACATGTAAGCTGAACAATAGTGTGGGGGGAGTGAGTAATTAGAGTTGCGTGCCGCTCAAACAAAAAACGAATCGACGAGATTTGAAAATCGCGTAAGTCGAGGTATTACTGTATTTAAATATGTATTAATATTATGTAATATATGTATGATTAAATATGTAATATGTTTAAATATATTAAATTTTACAGTAGAAATTATTATTTAAATACGTTTTTGACGTTGTTAGAATGAAAAAATAACATTTTCAAATAATCTATTCTGTTTAATTTTCTTCAAGTTTTAGATATATTTTTTTCTATTTGCTTTATTCCCTGAAGATGAATTCCCAAAACAAAAATATTTGAGATAATTATATAATATGTTATGTAAGAAATTTGATTAAATTTGCTAAGAAATGCATTTTGTTATTTCTTATCTATGTGTAATTCAACAGTTATTTTTATTTTAGTTAATATTTGTTGCTAAATATCAATTAATGTTAAAGTTTAATGAATAAAAATGATACTTGATTTTAGTTTAATATAAACTTTTAACAAAGTTTCATTTAAGTGATGTTATTTTATCAGTTTATTAAAAATATTTGAAAGTGATGATCACAGCATAATTTTCCTTTTGTAATACAATAAGAATTGTTAATCAATACTTTAAAGCAAACTACATCAGTCAATCAAAGCTAATTTTTAATTTTATATTGTTTTAAAATTGACTTGACATGAATTAGCAAATTTCGATTTAGTTAAATTTAAGTTAATATTATAGCTCTCTACACTATTAGGTGAAATAAATGAATTTTTATATAATTAAAATAATAGTCGTATGACTTAAATCTGTTTAAATATAAGGAAAGAAGAATTTGATTTTAGAAATAATCTTGAATATGTAAAATTCTATTTATAAAAAATCATTTTTTCTGGCTATTTAAATAATTATATTTGTTGTTCAATTTTATATAAAAGATTATTTTTGGAAATTAATTATGAATACAACAAAGGACTAAATTATTTTTATTTATTTTTTTTCTATTAAAATTTATTTTTTAAGCTTTTTATAGTAATACAATTGCCATTATAATTCCACAACATCATTAATTCTTCCACAATTAATAACTTCCATAATTCTATTAGAACTCTTTAGTTTCCTTCCTTTCTAGTTTTTCTTATTCATCCTTCCGAAAATTTCATGTTTTTAATACAAATATATTTTCGCAATAAAATTAGCTGATATGCTAATTTAATTTATATGAAAATCGTATTAAAGCAATGAAAATGCAATCTAGAAATAATAATAATAAAATAAGAAAAACGAAAAAAGGAGTTTTTTTATTTTATTAAAAATTTTTAATGCAATCAAATCTAAAGGCGTTGACGTAATAAATTTTAAAAGTTTTTAAAAGCGCAAAAAATTGAATTCGGATTTACTTCATTTTATGCCACCAGATGTCGCCAATGCCAGACACTATGGCTTTTTCATTGACAGTTATTTTAAAGAATAATTACGCGACAACACACGAGAGATTAATTAGAAATTTGTAAGGCGATGATTGACACCGTCATTTGCGTACATTAACTGTCGGGGGCGAGAAGGCGTGGGGAGACGAAGACGACGCAAAGGAAACGACACCCGCGAAACGACGTCGCGCGGCGGATAAGGGCGAGGATGGCAGCGTGTAGAGCATACTTACCTGGCGCCGGGGTCAGCCGTGGTCCCGATGGCGGCTCCTCCAGGGAGAGGCTTGGCCATTGCACTTCGGTCAGGCTGACACCTGCCACTACCCCAAACTGGGGCAGATGGGGCGTGTAATTTTTGGTAGCGGGGACTGCGTTCGCGCTATCCCCTCCCTATAATAAATAAAAAGTAGTACGTCAGTCACTGCGCTTGCACCGGCCTTTGTTTTTGTAATTCCACGTCGGCTTTCCCATAATTTAATTTAATGCGAATCGAATTTGTAAAACTTTGCTGCCGTCGACGAAATGAATTAAGACAGATTGTAATCTCTTTGATTGCGATCCCAACAGATAGCGTTAAAAATGTAATGTTTTTTTTTCTACGGAAAAGGCCTTTTTGAATAAATTCGAAAACTGAAGTATATTGAACAAAACAGGTTTTTGCGTTATAATCCTATTTAATTCTATTAACTTATGGTTTATAATTTTGAAAATAGAATTCGCAATTTTCTACGGTTTTAAAAATTAATAGCGAATTTGGACTGATTTTTTTTTGTATGAGAGTAACGCCAACAACTATTTTGTGTATGACTGCACGATGCCTGGTAAATCTGTTTTAATACAGTGGACTAGCGAGCCATTGACATAGTCCATTTCAAATGAAACGGATCTTGTTCGTTGGTTTACTTATCTAGGTGTATTAAAACTGCTTTATGGAGTAACTCGCCCATGTAATACCGAAATAGCACTGTTAAATCAAGTATGATCACTTAACTAGAGAATGGTCAATGATAATTTGTACATAGAGGATGTTTTCCTTTAAAACCCAAACATTTCAGTTTAGCGTTTGTTTCGAACACTAAACTGAAATGTTTAGGTTTGTTTCTTTCAATAAAAGCAATTAATTATTAAAGCATTATATAAATTATATATTAATTTTAGCAACAGCAATGATTTATAAATTGAATTTGAATAATATAAGTTTGAGTTTGGTTTTTACACATTATCATCTTTTCTAGATTTTTTTTAAACCTCACTTACTATATACTATATCACCATTATTATTATATATATATAATGAATTGAGGAATAGCAATTTATTATGTAGATTCATTTCCTTTTCATAAACCATAAACATTTATAAAATTAAGTCATATGAAATGTAAAAAATTATTAGATACATTTTTTAATGAAAATAGTGGTGATGATGATGATCAAACATACAGTATTCTGAATTAATTATATTTATTTTTATCAAGGAAAATTCCAAATGCAAGTATTGTCTCAATGTGGTCATGCTATTCATGAAGATGAGCCTGACAAAGTGAGTTTTTTTTCTTTTTTAAATAATTTTTTGAAATATTTAGAAAATTTTAATCATTAAGATTTCTATAGTTATAACAATAGCAATTTAATACAAGAAATTTCAAATGCATTAAATAAGCTTGGATTTTTATGTTTAATTTTGTTGCTGGAATGTGTGATTATGGTTATGAGGTTTCACATTTTTTATGTCATACAAGCAGATGTGTATAATTTTATATTTTATAAACTATAATAATAACTAATAAACTTCAGAAATAAATTGTATTAATTTCTGGAAAATAAATATTTTGGATATATTTATCGTAGTGCTTAAACAAAATATATTTTCAGAATTTTAAAAAAAATACAAAATCTTTTACAAATATGATATAAAGTTTTTATTTAGCTGTTTTAAAGGCAGTGATTATATATATATATATAAATGTATAAAAAAATTTTTTTTATTATAATTCTGAATAGTGTAAATCCAAATTTAATCGTTTTTATATTCAAAGACAAGAACACTGAAAGAGTTTCTAGGAGCTTGAAATAATTTATTTGATTAACTTTTATGCAATACAATCATGCCATCTTTACATTACTTTAAAACAAAATTGAAGAGCTATTTAACGTTCTTTATAAGTTTTGAATTTGAGCAGTTATGTTTGAAGTATGCTGTTTGTTCCATTTTAACCACATTAAGTGGATGTTGAATATCATTTTGAAGTGAACTGAAAATGGGATTATTGTATAATGTTACTCAAGTAAATGGTTTCAGATTCATAGAAACTTTTTTGGAAGTTCCTGTAAAGTTAAATTATGAAGATAATGTTCTTACTGTAAATCAGTCAATTTTGAGCTGAAATTTAAAAATTTCCTTTATGTAAATGCTATTAATTTTCATGTTTCAAAACCAAAGTTATTAAGAAAATTATTTTTATAGGTTGCGGAAGCCATAGCGACTTTTGTGGTACGTCATAAATTTGCTACCCCCACTTCAAATTTCCAGAGGTAATAATTTTTTTTACCTTCATTTATATATAATTAGATACAAATGCTATATTTATAAAAATTATTAAATTTATTTCAGAACTTTTCCTGCTTGTTAATATTTATATGGAGAAACAGTTTATAATTTCCATATCAAAAAAAAAATAAAAAATATTATTTAAATATATTTACAAATGTAATATAAAAATAACAAATTGATTGTGATAATTATTATGTGAGGAGTATATAATTTGAGAATTGTATACAAAAACATGTGTTTAGAAATTGTTTAAATGTTTTAATGAAACACTTATATAAATCACGTATATTATTATTATCATTAATGTATTGTCTAATATTTGTTTGCTTATTAATAATTTTCTTCATTAACATTACTTAAACTAACTGATATACTTAAGAAGGAATTTGTTTTTGTCATAAAATGACTGACACTGCCAAAACTAGTAACAAAAACAAATGTTTTCAAACCTGTTTTTATTCGTGTATAGTATATGAAAGAAGGAAAAAGTTAAGTTGTAAATCTCCAATTTCTTAATCTGTAAAAATTTTATGACTCATTTCTCCAAAATATTGTATCGAGAAATATGACTCGGAATCCAGGAAATGTATATAAAAATAAAACATAACTTTGATTCTAAATATTAATAAATATCTAGATTATGAGAAAAATTTAAATTTTTTTTCTTGTTTAATTTTTTTGGATGATATTTATCAATATATATATTTTTGGATGCTTAGAAATTATTTAAAATGTTATTTTAGAGAATAGAATAAGATTTATTTTTTTCTTTAAACACATACTTAACCAATATGGATGAATTTTGTAGAGTAATCTGTTCCAGATTGGCTCCATTCTAATTTTGATCTGTTTATTCAATAAAAGTCAATTTTACTATGATAAAATGTATTTTATAACATCATAATATGTAGAACACACATTCTTGCAAATGATTTGTAAAAAATGCATGTAAGTATGATAGTATTTCTCTTTTTGTTTGTTTTTCCCTTTATTCTGTATACGTTGCCTATAAATATTTTCTTGTTACCTAAAATTAAAAAAAAAAATTTGGTCCATAAGCAAATCTCTGCAACAAGAGGAATCTTAACTATAGCTTCAGTTGTTATACAGATGGATACTACATGGATACAAGTCATGAATATGCATCTGTAAAATGTGTCAAAGATCTCAAATATGATGAACACATGGAAAAAATCATTAGGTTTCCACCTATAGCAAGCAATCTATGACATAACTGAAGTATAACTTCTGTTTAGAAGGAAAATTTGTTTCCTGAAATCCTGTTATATATATCATTTTAAAGATTATGCCAACATAATATTGAAAACTGATAAGACAATTCAAAATCCGACACACAGTATTATCTAATTCAAAGGTAAATATAAATGCTGAAACTGAAACAAGTACTGTACAGTACATTAGGTTAATATAAGCAACCATCATAATCTATCATTGCTGTTCTTATAGTAATCAAAAAGTATTATAAGAATGTGTAATGATGGGCATTAAATGATCAAAGCAATTAGTATCAACCTCTGGAACCTGGAATTGATCAGGGATTTTTTTTGAGTGATCTGTGAGACCCTCCTCTATTGATATGACTGAACCCATGATGGAATGGAAAAAGTTCAGTTCCCTCTTAGTTCAGTTTGTCTAAACAGAAGTTATGATAATATAGAAAGGAACTCAGAGATTTTACATAAGTACTGCTTTATTATATTAACCAAGTACAATAAAAATTCTTTGGTGAATGCCCTATTTCAAAGATTTAAGTAAAGAGGTATAAATATAACTTGATAAATTTTATTTTCAAAACTACACTTATCAAGAACTAGAAATTTCCCCAACAAGCAAACGACCTACTTTCTATGAGAAAGTAGAGATTGAAGCATTGAGATGAGTATACAGATTTCAAGAAATTCAAGTAGCTAATGTTTCTACAAATTAAGTAGTCTATATTGCCCGTCGAAACATAGTTAATGTATGATAATACATTTTAAACAACAGGCTCGTTAGATCGTTACTTCCGATTGGATAATAGAATGTCACGAGGTCATTATTAAGTTTTTTTTTTAATTGTAGAAGATGCGGCTATTTTTTTTAAAGTTTAAATTTTAAATTTAATGAAGTAAGTTTAAAATATGCCATTTGTAAAAATATTTAAAAATGCAGCTTAAAGGAAATTTCCTGAAGCATGAACGTTCACATTTACAACCATTCGAAATTTTCCTTGTCAACCGAATCATTTATGTGATTCTTTTCCGATTTCGATGAAATACCATTTGAAGATTCATTTTCTGTGTTATGTGGTTCTAATGACAAAACCTCTAAAGCTGTGTGCACGATCACACTTTTGTCATCCGTTGATTCTTTATCTTCCGGCGATAATGTAATCGATACGTTTGAGAACATTTCTTGAGAAGATTCGTCTGCTTCGAGCTTTTCGTAGGGTATGTTGCTTTCTTCTTCAGTTTGGAAAGTGGATGAAAATGTGCTGTCAAAATTATTTTGATCAGTACCCTTTCCGCTCGAAGTTTCAAATGTAAATAATTGATCTAATGCATCATCGGTTAAAATTGGCTGTTGGTCTATATTACGCTCTTCAACTGGAATTTCACAAGCGATAGAAACCTCTTTGGAACAATTATAATCTATATTGTGAGAAATCGACTGCACCCTTTCTTCTTGTTCATCGTCGTCATCCAGATTATCATTGTTTCTTAAATTTAAAGCAGAATTAGTAAGGGACTCCAGGTCGACTTCATCTTCTAATAACTGTTTCCAACTCTCGGATTTTGGAATTGTTAAATTATCTTTTCGTGATTTGCAAGCATTAATTAATTCCTGCCATTTTTGACTACTTGTTCCACGCCTTCCCGATACCCGACCAATTCTCTTAGGTGTACTGTTACTGGAACCGATATCTACTTTATCTCCAGCTAAAGTTATGTTGAAATCCTTCAAAAGTCGACGTTGTCTTACTTTGGATTTCTTTCCGGGAGCTGAAATTTGTAATTTATTTGTAATTAGTTCATTTTAATTATGAAAATTTTATTAGATACTTACTTTCCGATCTCTTCAGACGGATGCTTTCTGTATTCATCCCGCTATCACGAAGAACATCCATTAATTCATATCGAAAAGAAAAAATATCTTGTCTTACTTCATTGATATCATCTTCTGTCACACTATGAAATTCTGCATGTCTTTGCTGAGAAGTTATGTAACGCCAAACCAGATTTCTCATCACATACTTTATTACAGAGAAATTAATAGTTTATAGAAATAATTTTTATAAAACTTTTCTAAAATAATACTTTGCTTACTTGATATTTCGCGTTTAAGAAATCTCGAGTTTCCTTTGTCTGAAATAAAACATAACATTTAGTTTAACATAATTTGGTATAATTATAAAAATAGTTTGAATTATTTTTTGATAATATCACAAAAACATAATGTACTACTGTAGAATCTATAGTTCTTGTTTATTTACAAGAAATATACGAAATTTTATTAACGATTAACGTCTAATGGCTTGTAGAAAAGAGGCATACAATTGCTGAAATCAGTACAAAATTAAATATCGGTTATAGTGCTCAAATAAAACAAATAATCAATAGTTAAAAAAGTACAGGTTAAAATTTAAAATTTCAACTGAGGAACAAACAAGAACAAATGGTAAATGAAGAGTAAGAAATAAATAAATGAAGATACTTCATTCTCATGATGAGATACAGTAGGATCCCTCTATACGCGAGCAATACCTACTAAGATCTCTTTCTTAAACGGAAATTCGCATAACATAATGAACCCCACTAATAATTAAGTATTTTATTTACTAACATACCTATCTTAATTTTTTATATAAATAAGGCAAATAAACAGTATGTTAACAATAAGTAACAATATTAAATTGGAACCATGTCTGAAAAGTAATTTGCTTTAATTAAATAGAGAAACACTGTTACTACATGGACACAATGTGTCACAAGCGAGAACACCATTCAAAGACTCTTGCGAATCTCAGAATTTAATGCAAAACAAAGAAATGAATCATAGTAGCGCTTTACCAGAGCAAGATGCTGCGAGACTTTATCAATATAAAACACGGCGATGATTTATTTAGCCCGCAGTTATTGTCAAACCTCGGTTTACGAACTTAATTCGTTCCTAAAAGTTGTTCGAAAACCGAAACAAATTTTCCCATAAGAAACAATGTTAAATGGATTAATCTATTTCTGACTCCAAAACAAAACTTTTTTTTTTACCTGTTTAGCTGTATTTCGTCCATAAAAACGTCTACAAATGCAATATACGTGAGGAGTCCGCTATTAAAGGTACAGGCCAAAATTACACTAACATTTACAATTAAAGAAAATACAGTAAGACCCCTCTTAAAGCGGGGATGCGTTCCTAGACGACAAAGCGCTAAGCGAAACAGCGTTAAATGAGACCATTTTAACATAGAGTAAATAGGGATAGGGGAACATGCCACCGAAAATAATAAAAATTTACTTTGTTATTTTTATATTAATTTATATAATAATATATGTTAAATAACACACAGAAATGTATAGTAATATATTAATTAGTTCATTTTTTGTGATGAAGGTACTGACTTTTATTGCAAAAAAAAAAAAAAAAAGATTTTCAGAAAGTCGTGAAGTTTCACTTGTAGTTTTTTTCTCTCCTTAAGCAAATGTCGGTAGCAGAAGATCGCATCGAAAACGCTTCTGTTTGCTTTTGCACTCTTTTCAAAATCTAGATCATTCACTAAAATTTGATCAACGATTTCGGTTATCGTTACCAAACTTTTACTAAGAAAATCTGTAGAGAAATTTTTTGGGTTCTTCGTTTTCAGAATCACTATTTTCCAGTTCTACATGGATTCCTTGTTCTGCTAGTTCTTGAAGTCATCGTTGGTAAGGCTCTTACCAGAAACCTGCAGTAACTCCCAAATATTCTGCTCGTCTACGTCTCCTGTATCGATTAAGTTGGCAATTTTGTCAACCTAATGATACAGCGATAGGCTCTTCTCGATGAGAATTTTTGGATACCTTCAGCCATAACTTCTTCCACGCTCCGTTCATGCATTTATCAGTTAATTCTTTCCAAGCCAAGTCGCTATTTCCTGTGGCATCCATGATGTTATTTTTTTCCAAAATTGCACAAAACAAACATGGATTTAAGGGAAGTACAGTGCTACGATGAATTGCCACCTTTTGCTGATTGGTTCGAGTTTGGGAATAATCGTATTATATACGAATCAATGAAATGCCGCGTTATTTTGAATTAGCATACATTTTGAGCGTTTTTTAGGCGTCAAGCAGACCGCGTTATATTGAATCAGCGTTAAGCGAGGCAACGTTAAGCAGGGTCTTACTGTATTTAATACATTCCACAAAAACTGCATACAGTACTTTTATTTATTTCTAGACATAATCGCCGTAAACGTTGCGACATTTATCCCAACGTGACACTACTTTAAACATCCCTTCATGGTACTGTTGCTTGAAGTAGTCCAGAACGGTATCTTCCAATTTCTCTTGATCTGCAAAGCGTTTCCCCGCCAAAAATTTCTTTAAAGGTCTGAATAAATGAAAATCCGATGGAGGGCTAAATTTGGACTATACAGAGGAGGACCCTTCAATTTTGCTGTGCCAACCACAGTTTGGTTTGATTTGACGTGTGGAATATAATATATTGCATATTAATTTTGATTGTACTTTTAATTTTAGTTTTAGTTTCGGTGTAAAACCCAGTTTTAATTATTTTATTATTTTTAGTTTTACATTTTTTTTCCTTCGGATTGTCACTAGTGTAAACCCGAAACCGCTTGTGATGGGGTCTTATATTCAGATTGATAATTTGAATACAAAAATGATAAATTGATGATTAGAAAGACTGTACTACATTGTTTAGAGTAAAAGTTTTCCTTAGGATGATTGATGATAGAAACAAAGTTGAATTTTGTGCGAAAAGATGGCATTCCATAAATATGTGAGTGACGTCAAATTACCAAATAAAGCATAAATAATAATCAATAGTTAAAAAAGTACACTATTGAAAAGACTGAAGAATGAAGATTCTTTTCAATAGGAAGAAGATTGATTTTTTGTGTAGAGACTATTTAATAACGTAATAGTTGAGAAGAAGCTGTAAAATAATGATTTTCGCATCGTCCAGTAATGTATGCTAAGAGTCAGTAAAAGGTATTAAAGTATATAAAGAAAAAATTTAGAACCATTTTTAGAACGAGAACATTCTGATATTTAGCTTAATAGAAGTCATTCTTGAATAGTAAGTTTTGATAATATGTCAGGTCTACTGCAGGTTTCGCAAATTTAAAGAGTAAAATATTAACAAAATGTGTCTGTTGCTACAAACCAATTGTTTCCTTGATAATTTTACAGGCAAGTTACTGTTAATTTTGGTTAACCGTTGAAGATGAAAGATACTTTTATATATGGTTGGATCGAAATGAGTAGTAATTTACATAATAAAATTAATATTTTCAAAATATGAATAAAAACGAGTATTTTTCCTACTTCCAAGCACATTGCGTATGAACAAATGATAGATTTTACGAATACAGTGTATATTTCTCAAGAATTTTAATAAATGTGTCACACGAATTGGATCAATATAAGACTTGAATACTGTAGACTGTAGTGTAAAAAGTGTTTTTTTTAATTAATATAATGCATATTATATTTCATAATATAATTTTTCATACTCGTATGTGAGCCTCATCATCTCTGCGCTCTGGCCACATGCCTCCTCTGTTCTTGCCTTTCCACAGCTGTGGTTAGTAGATACAAGTAAGATATCATCAGTATAAGAAATCATTTGCATATGAGAATTATTGATTTTGATGTCGTCTTATTCATTATCCAGTCGATGAAGTATGTAATTAATGTAGAGTAAGTAAATATGAACTTTATAAACTAATATAACTTTAAATGGTCTCTTTAAGGAATATTCCTCGGCAATGTAAAATACTTTTAGAGTTAATTAGAGTATACTGAAGATGAACTTCATTATTATAATAATTAAAAATATAAAATTATTTTAAAACTAATTCTAATATCGAGTACATTTTATATTTGCCGAAAACTAATTAAAAGTTAATTTGAATTATAATATTTTGGAGGAACAGTACTTTGCATATTACATTCTGGTATATAATAAGTTTATATATGCCGGAATATATGCGATATATACAGAATATATAATGTTAATAGTAATTTTTTAAATAAAATCAAACATTAGACATATATAAATATTAATAGAAAGTGCGAGTTAAAAAATTTATCATCTGCATGTCGATTTTTATTACAAAATGTAGGTTATTTTCATATTTATTTCAAATACAATAAAATGGTTATATCACTATATATTATCAATTACAGTAAATGTTATCGTAAATTTACATTAGTCAAAATTTAAATTTAAAGAAAATAAATGTTTTACCTCACGTTTTTGTGTAGTTATTTATTTTTACTGATGTTTAGATAATGCCATGTTTTTATTATTATTTATTCGAAATTAATTCTGTTAAATAAATTTCTTATTGTATCTACAATAGAGTTTTACTACTTATTCCATTTATATAAAACGATATAACACTTAATTTTTTGATTTATACGGAGAATTAAGTATTAATTTATATAAAGATTTACAAGCAGTGAGAACTTTAAAGGGGCGAGAAGGACGATTGCTCTGGACTCTGACTTTTGAAGCCCTCTCAATTAACATTTTGAATTTCTTACATTTATACTTGACATTGTAAATCATTCCATTTTGATAATATGTAAATACTGCAAACAGTAATATTTATTTTATGTTAATAAATATATTTCTGACTTTTATAATAAATTATAAGTTGAAATGTCATGAGAAAGTGCAAAGCGAAAATATAATCATAGATTGTTGGGCTGCAATTTAAAAAAATCGCAGCCCAACATTGTACGACTCTTCGCTTTCTGTTGTCTGTCCGTTCTTAATATCGAGACTGGTGTTAATTGGACGAGATTCAAGACCAGATATGGAAGGCTTAGGTGCAGTAGGCCCCGATTAACTATATATAAACTTCCGTTCTAAATAGGAAATCACGTGACTTCAATTTAAAAAATTTTCCCTGAATGGAATTATATAGATGACTGGCATGACTGTGCTCTTATCAGGAAAACAATGCACAGGGGCAAGACACTATAAATTTGAGATGGAGAACATATATATTGAATTGAAAAATCAAGAATATGATTAAAAATCGCAGTCCGGCATTATGACGATGTCACAATAAAGAATAAAGAATTGCTCGTTTCTTATAACTTATTATTCGAGCTCATATTTAAGCTTGAAAGCATATAATTATTTATTTATTTTTATCATCTAAAATCAATAAAACTAAAATGCTCACTTTATTTCCTTGTTCAGCATCATCCATGTTTTTTGATTTGCATAATTTCATTAATATTTTTACCGTGGGAAGAATGTTGAATGGAGGTGGTACAGTATTACCTTTTTCGAAATAATCCATAAATAACTTTGTTCTTGCAAATTTCCATTCAGTATCAGCTCTCGCCTAATAACACAAAATTCAATTTAGAACGAGAAAAATATATTTTAAGTTGAAAATCGGACTTACCGATATTATTTGATACGAATTACTCATCATAGCAATTAAGAGATTTAGTAGAACTACAACATTGATGACGCAATATGAGCCGAACATTAGCATTCCCCAAAATCGAGTGTAACTTTTAATACCAGTTAATTCAAAATTGGCCAGATCGACTAGCCCGAAACTTGCCCAAAATAAACTTTGGGACGATTCAAATAAGCTTAAACGAAATTATTGTTTTTAGAAACAATACTATAAATGAATTTAAGAAAATAAGCTAAACATACTTTGAAAATCGTCTCCATGCCAAGCAGGAATCTCTATTTTTATCCCACTTGGCTTGTCCGGTTACCGAATCGTAGCAGATTTTTTTCTCCATGTCTGCATAATACCATAACAACTGATTAAGACCACATGCGAATGAAAATAGCACAAGTGTGTAGATGAAAAAGAATTTAACAATGTCGATGGCCATTCTTCCTAATGATACCTGAAGAGGACCCAAATGAGGATTGATAGAGAATAGATGAATCAATTTAAATGCACTATTTTAGGAATACAAATACATAAAATTAATAATTCTCTTTTTTATATTTAATAATAATAAAAAAAAAAGATTTGTTTGTATTTACGAAAAAATATTCCCTGCTGCAAACAAGCCATCTGCTATTAAAGTTGGATCAAAAGCATCCCACTCTTCTCTAGGAATAAACGCATTATCTGGATATTTAGAAATTTCTGAGTTTGCCTAAATGAAATATTAGTCAGAAAGCTAATTTTATAGTTAATATTAATATATATATATTTAATATTTTACCTGAATATAAGCCCAACCACGTAGTATTATAGTTAGCACGTAAAGCGTGTTTCTAATGAAATCAATGATATTCCAGGTATTTTGAAAATATTCTACGATACCACGCGCCCATAATTCTCTTGTTTCCTGCCAGATATATGCTAAAATAGTTTTCAAAATTATTTATATTCAGCACAAAAAATATTCAGCGAGAAAAACGCTTAGTTTTTTTTAAATAATAAGAAACTTACAAATTACATAAATGAGTATGCTTATTTCTATAATTGTTGGTAAATTTCCTCTTTGCTTTTTTAGAGATTCTGTCATCTGAAATTTCATCTCCTCTGTACCGAAAAGTTCTATTATCAATGTCTCCACACGTTGAGAGGCCAAGATAAGTAAAACTCAAAAAATAAAAATAAAACTAATATAAAATACGAGAAATATCTGGTAAAGAGAGGAGTAAAAATGAACATACATAGAAAAAATAGATATGAGAAGGCATGAACGATGAATTTAACAAAAGGTTTCTCCATTAATTTAGCCGAAGAACTTGTTGGGCATATCATATAAATCCATGAATATACAGGAAACAGCACTCCAATTTTAATTATTTGCCATAATTTTTGAAAAACATTAGATCGTCTAAACCCAGGCAATCCTTCATACCAGAGACTACTTAACAATTGCTGGACATTTGGATGAGCGACAAACTGAAAACAATTATTAAAAATCTATTCATGAAACTATAAGGTTCTACTGTTCAATTTGTTATCCATTTTATATTTATATTCACTATTAGCTTTAAATAGAAAAAAATTCTTACCTTCTTTTGATCACATTTAAGGGCTAATTCTATTCTTGACAATAAACTTTGATTTTTGATTATTTGATCAGATGTGTCGTGACTTAGAATAACTTGTAACTCATCGGAGGTACGCACGTGGTCTAAAAGAGCCACTGCAAATTCTTGGCAAGTTTTTCTTAATATCTAAATATAAATATGTGGAATCACATAATTAACAATAATGAATTTTTTTAATTGAAAATTTAAAAATAAGAAATTTGTAGCATAAAATTACCAAGTACTCTTCTTTAAACTCATTCTCGATTAAACTGAGTCGTTTTAATTCTCCACTAAGTTCAAAAGCCGTCAAAACAGGATCGAAACTGGTCAGACAAATCAAAGATGGCGACGACAATGCACGATAAGCGTTGATTCTAGTTCGCGAATGACGAAGACAATCTTCATGTACAGCATTTAAACACTCGTTACATTTGCATTTGACCTCGTGAGGCATTGGCATGGTAGCATTGCGATCGAGTAACAATTTAAGAATTTCGTAATTATCTTTGTGTGCAGCTAACATAAGAGGTGAAATTTCAGGAGAAAACATTGCTATATCTTTATCCACAGTTTCCCAGCTCTGAAATAAAAACTATTGTGTAAATTTAATCGTTAAAATTAGTTAAAAGATATATAAATATCATTCTTACATATTTTTCTCCAGTTTCTATACATTCTTCGTGATCTAAAAGAAGTTCAACAGCTTCTACGTATTCAACATTAATAGCATGCAGAAGTCCATCTTTTACTTGAACTCCTTCCAGCAATAATAACTTTAACATTTCGAAATTTTCATTATCAATTGCTATTATTACTGCCGATCGACCCAATGGATCTACACAATCAATATTAATCGATGTCGAATCTTTAACTGTTCTTTCTAATATCCTTAAAAAATAAATTTAAAATCCGTGAATACATAGTTGTCTACAAGGCGAGTATACAGTTTTAATGATTATACAAATTGATACACATAAATTGCAGAATATGAAATAGGTCCCATTATTTGGCCCTTTATTTGTAACATCTAAATATTGAAACAAGACGAAAAAATATACTGAACAACAATAATAAAGTTTTCATATAACGTTGTTTGTAGAAACGTCTGACGTTTCCTCAAACAATCACTAGATTACTATTAGAGATAGTTACAATTTGTACCACAAATGACGATAAAAATCTATTTTAAATTTTTGGTCTTTATTGCGGTATGATAATGTGAGTGAGCCCTTTTTGTATTACAGTACTTAAATACTTTAAGAGTTTAATGTTTCAAATTAAATTAAATTAGAGCTTGGAAAAGGCAGAATTTCTTTTAGGCCATTGTTAAAATGATAACGATAGCAGTATTTCTTCTATTCGTTAGACACTGTTCAATTTTTTCCACCGATTTTTGTTTTTAAGTGATGAGTAAGCTTCTGGGACAGTAAGTTTTTAAGTGAATTTTTCTTGTTATGTTGTGAAATGCGACCAGAAATGCTGATTACGTTTTGATGATACCACGAGTAGTTTGATATAAGTTCTGTGTATACAGGGTGTATTTTTATCTTGAGACAATGAAATGTCTTAATTGGATCTCATTATTTTGGGAAAAGGTAGAGACAAAAGTTGTAGGGTGTCGAAGGGCAATCAATTAATGACTTCAGACGTGACCTTGATCTTCAAGGTCATTTGAAGGTCAACTCAGGTTTTTTCATTGGGAACATATATTTTTGACCCTGGAAATGGAAAGAGCAGGAAATTTTACATTCAGATATACTCTTGATTTTAAGGTCTAGGTCAGGGGTGGCCAACAGTTTTTGCCCCCGGGCCAAATTGGAACGAAAACTTTTTCCACGGGCCAAACCAGATGCTGCCCTAGGAAGATTTTGAGGTGGTGCGAGATTTCATTGTGGTGTCACCCCGTAGAGACTAAATTGTAGATAGAGATTACAGATACATTTTTAATATTATCACGCTTTATCAACATTCTACGCCGTACTTACGAGATTTGTAATGTAGGGTTAACTCTAAACGCACAGCGAGTTGTTGACTTTTTTTTTAGGCGTCAGAATTTTTCATCGAGCTATTTGGACTTCAGTAGTTAATATTGAAAGATTGATCGCCGGCCATATAAATTCAATAGACGGGCCATATGTTGGCCATGCCTGGTCTAGGTCAAAGGTCAAAATTATTTTAAGGTTAAAATTAAAAGCTTTTACTAATGGGAAACCATATTTTTTATTACTGGAATAGATAGGGAGGTAAAATTTACATTTTTTCACAACCTTATTACTTTCACCTTTAAAAGCATTCACTACTTTTAGCATTAACCAGGAGTAACAATATAGATATAGTAGTTTTCTGCACCATTTAAGGTGCTTATTTTCAGTTAGTCACATTGCCTTTCACTATTGGGGTGCATGTTTTCGGTGAGTCACTTTACTTCTCACCTTTGCTTGAGATATTGGTTTTGGGGAAAATTTATAACAAATATTCAAAATGATGCTTTTCCACTTCGATGCATTTGTTGAGCTGCGCTTAAAATTATCAAGCTTGAGATGACCTTTAGAGGTCAAATTCGGAGTATTCAAGGTCATAGCTGATTGTGAAATTTTCCGCTTTTTCCATGTAAATGTAAATTTTACCTCCCTGTCTATTCCAGTAATAAAAAATATGGTTTCCCATTAGTAAAAGTTTTTAATTTTAACCTTAAAATAATTATGACCTTTGGCCTAGACCTTAAGATCAAGGGTATAGCTGAATGTTAAATTTCCTGCTCTTTCCATTTCTGCAGTCAAAAATATGTGTTCCCATTGAAAAAAACAGACTTGACCTCCAAATGACCTTGAAGCGCAAGGTCACGATCACGTCTGAGGTCACTAATTGTTGCCCCCTCGACACCCTACAACTTTTGTCTATACCTTTTTCCAAAATAATGAGATCCAATTAAGATATCTCATTGTCTCAAGATAAAAATACACCCTGTATATGTAATATCATCACATTACCTATAAAATTTCTTGTGATATATGAGGTTTGTTGTTGATACTTGATCATATATGATGACTTATTCATTTGCAGGCAAGGTGTTTGACGGCGAGTAGACAAATGTGCAAATAAAATGAAAATAAAAACGATTTTCAGAAAAGTAGTAAGTTATTTTAGCTATCATCACATTGCCAATTCTTATTATCTCTACCTGTCACCAAATTACCAGATTCTGACTACCAAATTTGTGGTTAATTGTAGTTATACTAAAAATTTTATGCCAGAAATAAGAGTGTGCTGATATACCAAGCACGGGATAGTATGCTTTCATTCATGTTAGTAATATTTGAGCATTTCAGTGAAGACCAAAATCTAGCACCACATTATCAATCCTTATTCTATTTTATACAAAACAAGCAACGAAATGAAAAAAAATGCTCACTTATACACCTAATTATTTACTAAATAAATCAATTTTGTATTGGTTGTGTAGTAATTTTATTAGTAAAAATTGCATGTATAGATTGCAAGTATAGATTTGTAAACATTTTAAAAATAAACAATAAGCATATTTTTACGTTTCAGAATAATTCATGTCATGTATTTTTAACGTAGTTATTCAAAAACATGTACTTGTGGTAAAAATTAAGTTTTATATATTATACTTTCATTTGGAAATCAAATATTCTTGATATAAGTAGATTCCAAAAGGAAAACATTAGTAACCAGATTTAAAATTTATTATATATTCTATAATAAAGCATTGTTTTTTTTTATTCTATACTAATCTATATCATTAATTATCGTCACATTTATTCAAAGAGCAAAAAAGTCAATTTACTATTGTTTGCTATTATTTAAATTATTTTAAAACCAGTAACAATGCTCATTGTCACCTAAATACGTAATAGGTGTTTAGTATTTAGTATTTAGGTGTTTTATACTTACGCAGTTTAAAACTCTTGTAGCTTATGTACAATACTATAGATTTGTCGGATTATTTTTGCTCTTCGATCGCGTTATATGACTTTCTAGTCATTTATCATTTTATATTATCTATAATTCTATAATAACTTTGTGTCTTCTTCCATTACCACGTGTTAATTAGGCTATACCTTTTGACTGTTGCCAAATCACCGTGTTCTACACCTAGCATATAACATTTTTCAACAGGAGTTAATTTCTTCACTGAAGGATGTTGATTGACGTTTATGTCTGAAGCATCGAAATGCCAACTAGGTTTTCTCTTGTCTGCCATAATCAACCTATTGTAAAGAACAGATGATTAGGTTTACAGAAAATACTCTTAAACAAGAAATACCTAAAAAATTCATTTACTAAATTACAAATTATGAATAATATCGAAGACAAAAAATATAAACTAGGATAACAAATTAATAAAAATTTTATTGTTTTCTTTGAAAATTGAAATGAAAATTATAGTTTTTTCAAATATTCAATACAATGTACTTTTGCTGATCCGAACCTATTATTGTACAGAACTGTTCGGATTGTCGAAATTATATATAAAAAAATTAGTTGAAAAGGACTACAAACAAATACTAATATAAAGGCATAGGAGTAGCTCCGGCCAATCCGGCCTTGGCCGGACCACTTTTTGCTGTCAACGTTATGAACACAATTCTAATTTCAAATTAATTACTAGAATGCAACACTGTCAGACTAAATCAATAAACTTCTCCACGGGGGACATGAGTCATCTCTAAGGTATTGGGCCTTTCTCCTTTCCCGGCAATGCACGTCTCTATCTACCCAGAGAGATTTAGAAATTGAAAACGTTGAAAAAACTATGTAAGAATTGCAGTTTATATTTTCTCCCTTCCTATGGCCTATACTATATTTGATACATATGTTTATGTTTAGTACTAGTTAAGTTATTAAGTAGCCTACTACAAATTTTAATGTGTAGTAGACTACTATATACTGATCTTATAAATTCGTCACGTTTTTGAAAAAAAGAAAATAATAATTTATGATTTCTTTTTGGTTTTGCTGGAACATTTAACGGAAAACCGAACAATATCAGTTTGAATTAACCTTATTTCGGATTAGTGAGAGTTCACTGTAATTATTGTTAAAAATCCAATAGGCTATAGGAGTCAAGCACTTACAGTGAATATTAAACTTATAGTTAAGTTTTATGTAATTTGTACTAATGAAGAAATAACAATTAAAAATTCTTACATACTATACTTTGTAAATTAACTTAATAAGAGAAATATTAAAAATTAAATATTTTAATATATATTTATTATTTGTATAATAATCTAAACTTAATAATAACTTATTTGTTAAATTTTCATATAAGAAAATCAATAAATTAAATGTTTCTGAGATTAATCTAATTATAAATATATCTTATATTTTACTAATATAAAGTGTAAAAGTATTAATTTTAGTAGAATCCGTTAAAATATAGAGAAAAATGGACCCAGATGTAGACTTACCTGTAACATTTGCTGCAACTACACACATAAGTTTCAAACCTTTCAAATGCTTGGACAATCATACTTAATCTTTTTAAATAATTATATCTTTGACTCTTGTGTAAGCAAAACATTTCTATAAAGAAAAATAATCAAATATTAAATATTATTTGAATTTTAAAATATATAATCCTTAAAAGCTTTATTTCAGTAAAAAAAAATGATAAATATTTCATTGTTTTTGAGTTTTGATGGTCTTAATTCCCATTAACACTCACAAAAATATTATGGAAATTTATAATATTTAATTTTGCATATATAAAATATTTTGTCATGTTTAAATATTTATTTCATCGACTAATAAATCGGCTTAATGAATTATTAATTTATATTTTCGACAATTTAATGCTGTTAATTAAGAAATATATTTTCTGGCAAATATTTGTATTGAATTTTTTATAGTATTACCTTAACGAAAAATAATTTAGTTTGCTTTTATCAAAGGCAGAATTCCCCCAGATTTTAATGTATTCGACCAATCAGATCAAACTTGAAAGATATTTAATTGGATCGCAAGGAAGATTTTAATATATTTTTATTTTGTTGGTACTATTTTTGATATCCGTGTTCTAAATTTCGTGATATATCGAGTTCATTTTTGCCTAAAAATACGACTGAAATAAATTGAATCCGGAATATAATTAACGTACCAATGATGCAGTTTATACTTCCACATCTTCTAATAATCTTTAATAAAGTTTAAAGTTAATGAAATTATTTTTTTTATTAAAAATATCATTTAAAAAGATGGTAATATCATTTTTAATAACGAATTATTGAATAAGATATATTATAAATTAAATATATGATTAAATATTGCATCACGGCATTGTGACGATATGACAAATACCGGTAATTGCTCGTTTAGTTTATTCTATACGTAATTTATTACGATTATTTCGTTAGAATAAATAAATGTTAGCTATTTATTAATTAATTTTAAATTTTGATTTAAACAACTTTGTTCATAAATCATCATTGGCGTAATAGCGTCTACCAAACCAGTTGTAAGTTGTATTAAATGTGTTATGCTTACGAATGTGGCATATTTACCGTTATCTAAAATTATAATAATTATATTTTATATTATTATTGAATTAATGCAATATTTGTTTAATGATGTCTTCTAATTTATATGACCATATATGAGTAGCAAAAGTGTTCAGAACATAAAGGCAACTTATATTGGAAACATCTCTCCAAAGTAGGGACGGATCTAAGAAGGCTACAAGAGGCTTAAACCCTCGTCATTGACGTACAAAAAAATTAAAATTAATTTATTCGGACTTAAAAATGTTTTTAAATGGTAGCAAATATGGTTCATCCGATCATCCACAATACAATCGTCTTGCACATGTTAACAAAAAGTCTTTATTCATTATTTAATTACTTATACTTTTTGAGTTAGGTCCCCTTTGGATTCTTTTGGATCCGCTACTGCTCCAAAGCTAGTTTTTCATGAAATGTTTTTGAGATTTTTAGTTTATTTGTTACAATAAGAATTGATAATATTGAAAAAATAAAGGTTTAATATCAATTTAACTAATTATGTATGCAAGACATTTAATAAATATAAATTTACTTTAAAAACATAATTTTTTAAGCCCTTTACTATACGCATTTTAGTTTATATTGTATACAAAATAAGATATCTCGCGTATAATATAAATAATAATAATAATAATAANGATTTTTTTATTATTGCTTTATTTTTAAAATTCCAAGCATTAATAGTTTCTTAGAATTACTTTGGAATAAAAGAAGTAAATACTGCGGTGTAAGTAGCATATTTGCATTTATTTCTTCTGTACTAACAAAGTTGTATGTAGGAAGAAATAAGAAATAAATAAAAAAAACTAAATACAAAAACTTTCTTATTTCACTTTTCAATATGATATTTGGTTATACATCAATTTTCTTTTTATTATATTCTGAAGGAAATTTTGCATAATTTGGCGGCCTCCCGGCAAACTTCTTACAGACCCCCAGGGGCCGCGGCCCCCCTGTTAAGAAACACTGAACTAAACCACATAGTCTTAAGACCACAAATCTAGTATTTTGATGATTGGTATTAATGCTGTCCTTTCCTGTCCATTCTTATCTCACATTTCCTTCTTTTGTTTTCATATATCAAATCAGAACCATATCTGGTCAAGGAATGATGATTGGACAATCAGGAAGAAGTTTTTTGAAAACTATAAAAATCAGTGGGACAGTGGAATTACGGAAGTGAGTTTTGATCTTAGAAGTGAGGAACTTAGTAGTAGAAAACAGGAGCAGTGTTGATTGTAAAAAATCAGAAGTATTAGAGTATAAAAAAAAGGGTAATATGTGTCCATCAAAAACATAAAAAAGAAGTCCAAGAAATCCAAAGTTTTTGACTGTGACTGAATTCCTGGTTTTATATATGATTATTTCAGTGGGTTTTGTGTACATTTAATCTTAGCTGAGAAAGAGAAGTACACAGAACAGCAAGGATCCAGTGAATGGACATAGGCATAGTACCATTTGAATTTTAGTTGAACTTCTGAGTGTTTTTTTTTTTTTTTGTGTGTGAAATATGAATAAATTGAATCAAATTGTTTTGGACTTTTTAATCATGGTTGACTACATTAATTTCTTATTTCTTTAGTTCTTTTCCTAATATATAAGATAGATTAATATAGTTGATAAGTTTTGGCATCAACGTAAAATTAACAATCGTCTCACATGAGAAATTGTTGTCTATGTGACCTATGTGTATAATGTATTCATGAAAAATAAATTGTTGTTAAATAAATAAAGTCTTTGTGTGAGCTTCATGCCTCATAAACTACAGTAAATTACTGCATTATCACTACAATTATAATTGATGTGAAAAAATTTACTTAAATAGAATGTTTTGTCAGGAGGTAGTATGTATTGAGGAATACAAACAACTGAATCTATTTATCAATCCTCACTCACTTGGTCAATATAAATGAATGATACAATTATTAAAGCATATATTGAAGCTAATTGTTTGCACTGCCTCAAATACATGATGTTCTAACTTAATATGCCACACAGAATTAATTATTTCATGATTTTTATTTTATATAAAAATCTTTTAGGTAAGTTAATTAAGTTCTGTATTTTTAGCAATGGTCTCAGAAAGTTATGCACATTTCTAGTCAATAATTTTGATTTTGAAAAAATAGTGATAGGAACATTTATGACCATGACTTAATAACTACATATATATCATTTCTAGATATGTTATCAAATATTACAGAATTAGTTTTTGAATATAAGGAAAATATAATGATATTCCATGAAATTTATTTACCTTAAATCGAGAACTCCATTGTTTATATGAAAAAAAGACAATTGATGACATAAATTTGAGATTATCTATAATATAATTTGCAAAACATTTAAGATTGTTTATTTATCTATGGTGTGTTATGGAAAAGTAAAGATTGTAAATAATATGAATAAGGTATTTTTAAATTATTATTAACATAATTCAATATTTCCAGGTTCAGAACAGAAAAAATCAAATTATTAATCCTTGTTCAAAATGGCTAAATGCATCATCTTGGGATAGTATTTCAGAATTAAATAATTTAAGGAATTTTCATGGAATTGTTTCTTCTTTTGAACAAATTTCAGATCAATGGTTTTTATGGTTTAATCAGCCTGATCCAGAAAATCATAATCTTCCTNTTAGAAATGAAAGTAATACGTTTTCGTTTCCTATTGTAAATCTATGAAGGAAATACAGTATTTAAAAATATGTC